GTCGCAAAATAGCGCTGATTAGTCCCGATAAAACATTGATAAATCGCGACTAAAAATAAAAGGTCGCTAAAAACTCGCCGACTAATTGCGACATAACATCGCAACAATCGAACACCAAGTCACGTAACTCGCAGAAGATATATTGCAGTAAGAATTTTCCACTCAGCGCCATTTAACATCCTATACACTCATTTTTTGTTTTTCATTCACTTCTTTTTACTGAAATACTTCGTCAGAATTATAGTATAGCAGAATTCAGCGGCATACAGCAGATGTTAGGATTCTAAACTCTGGTGTCTAATCTATAATCCATCGGAACTCAGTAAAATAGGCATCAGAATTCAACTTCTTTTGCATCGGGTAGGTGAGAGCGAACCACTTAGAAACATTCGCGAGAGTTTAGGATAAAAAAGCTGGCGTAATTCTAGTGGAGCTCTTGAATTTTAGTTTTACTGGAAGTCTGACAGCACCGTTGTACAATCATGAGCTGTGATAACTTTAATGAAAGAAATTTTAATTTCGAACGAAGTTTTCTGTCCCCTATGATTCAAAATCTGGTATCAAAATAAAGGTGAGAGAGGCTGATGTCTTATGATTTTAACGTGAGCCTTACCAATAAGGTGACGTTTGCCGTATGTGAAGAAAACACGCACGCTTGAACTTTCAGAGAATGCGTATTCGTAAATAATAGACGCTAATATCAGTTCGTTGCTAGAGCCAATCTAGCATCCTGTGAATGAGGCGGAATGGCTTAGCCCCAATCCCCTCTGCATCAAACAGGACCGAAATAATACTCGCTACATCCTGAAAGTCATCAATGACAAAGCGGTCTTACACCGAGGATACTCACGATTGCGATGACAGCAACCTTTGATGCATTTCTCACTTTGGTGCATTTTTATTTTGAGACCTTGCGAAGTTACAGTATTTAGCGAAGTTGTACATAGCAGAAGTCCGTTTTGAGAACATAGCAGAAGTCCCTTTTTGTTTAACCCAAAATAGTTAAACAGAAAGATTTCAACTTTGTGACCACAAACGTGAAAAGGATTTATGTTTTCATACTCCTTCGTTCATTAAAATTGCTGTGTACTTACTTTGTATATTACTTATTTTTTCATGTACTTCCCTATTGAAAAAGTGAAAAAAGCACATATAAACTGCAAAAAAATCGAGCGTAAATATAGTCTGCACACTATACTAAGAAAATATGAAGTGTCTTGTGTATGACGGACACTGTTTTTTTTGTGTATCTCCTTTAAAATGAAAATAACAAAAACACATATCTTCAATCACACACGTGTCTATAGACACATAGTATATACTATTTATGTTATAAATAGAATGTGAACTATCTATTGTGTACGAAATATAGACTAAATTCCCACTCTTAAATAGAGAAAAAGAATTCTTTTCCGTTCTTGCAATTCAAAAAGAACTAACTATATCCACCAATAAAATTTCGTGACGTGAGTCGCGTCGCGACTTTTTAAAACTCAGCTAGATTGTCCTGCAATAGGCGCAATTACTGTCGGCATGAGTCGCGGCGCGAAATAGCAATATGATAGTGATTGCACTAAGAAAAATTATACTGAATTCTTAAGAATGGAATCGATGCAGATTTAGAGTCCTGCCGCTAGATCGCGAATGCGTAGCGATCGCGCCGTGACTTTGCGAGTGTGTAAGGATCACGCCATGACTTCGCGAGCGTATAGCGATCGCGATTGGGCTCCTACAAAATATTTTTTCTAAAAAACACGAGTTTACCAAGATCACGACGTGATAACGTGGCTTTATAACGATCGCGACGCGACGGCCATGAGTTTATAGTGATCGCGATCGTGACATCGCAACTAAGGCGTGATTGTCGATCCGGGGGAGAGGAGAAGTTATTTTGTCTCAAAGCTGAGCTAGTTTCTTCTTGACAGTTTTGGAATCGAAAAGAAGTATTCTTCCTCAGACAATGCATCAAATCTAAAGTCTTCTCCCATATGTAGGTTCGGTTAGATATGTTAACTGTGTCCAGATCTCAGAATGAAAATGCACAATAGTGAGAGTAATACATGCAAAGGTTGAGTTACCACAAATTGTGAGTTACCTCTGTGTAAGATCACTTTGCTGTTTGAGTCTTTCAGAATGTAGTAACGATCATTTCGATTCTGTTTGACGCACAGAGGATAGCGGCACAACCAGAGAACCTCAATCACAGGACGCTAGATTGGCTCTAGCAACAAGCTGATCCAGTGTCAAGTATCTGCAGATACACATTCATTGAAAGTCCGAGCGTTAATGTTGTCTTCACATACGGCAAACGTTATCTTATTGGCAAAACTCACAGGTGAAGCTCAAACACAGCCCCTCTCACTTCTATTCTGAGATCAAATGACAGTAGTGATTCGGATAAGAACTGAAAAATACATGGACGAAGAACCTAAAGAAATACATCTGAGAAACTTTTGACCGGCAAAAACAATATCGCACCTTAGATGAGCAAATTAATAATAGTTCAACTTTGTAACACTGAAATGATATGGAGTTCAAAGCTCAAAACAAACAAAATAAACTCTGTGCACTTTGAAGAAGGTACTCTAGACGAAAATCTCTGATTGCTTCATGTTCTTGAAGAAAATACCGAGTAAAACATGATGGAATCTGATTACAGAATATATTTTTACTGCGTCATACGATATTCTGATTTTATCTCGTCACAACGCAATTTTTTTCAAGAGCAGAACAACGCGATACATTATTTGATCCGTTACGTCGCCTTAAATTTTTTGTAACAAGAAAAGTATGTTAATAACGCACATTATCGTCTACTACAAAAACCGACTTTATCGCATTATTAACTCAACGAAAAAACCTCATGGGATACTTCAGCAATAACTGTTTCTTTTTACTTAATTTCTTACATTAATTCTTTTCACCCATACCTGTATATTAGTGATAAGAATTTTCGCATATATAGAATGTCGACATTAATGCTGACGACACATGTATACCTCTTTTTATTTCACACCTGCCGCTCTGACTAACAACAACAGGTCGAAATGGTTTCTTTGTCACGGCTTCTCAAGCGCGTTTATAAAATAGTACGACTTCTGCTGGCCCTGGGATTAACTGGAGCTGCATGTACTCTCAACTTCATCAGTTATTCTAAATATCTTCGGCGTTCAGCGTACACAATCCAGCAGATACCCGGGTTTTACTACGACCAATACTTTCACGAAAACAAGACATTTTATCATCTGGTCAAACAAGGGTATACAAATGAAAACTGTTCAGTACAACCGATTCCGTTTACGATCTGGACATTCCGTGAAACATGGCGACTTCCCGTTTCGTCATTTCAGAATGAAACAGCAGTAGAAATCGACGAATGGTTTGTGAGTTCAACAATGGCTAATAAACTGATACACGCTCTCTTTCTCTGGACAAACATAGGCGGGTTGATGCTAAATATGCTTCTGGATTTCAAGGACTTCAAGGACGAAGATAAAATTACTAAAACTAACTGTTGCAGTTGGGATTGCTGTAGTTCCATCTTCATTTTGTGGAATCTAGTTGTGTACAAGAGTACTGTTATTATACCGGCATTTCTCATGTTCTTGTTTAATTACGAAACCGTATGTCTAGAAGCTGAATCAACAGCTGTGGCCCATTTCTTAGTAATAGGAATCCAGGTGACCAGCGTAGCGGTACTGTGCGTATCAGCGTTTTTTGTGTACGATGTTGTAGTTCATCTCAAGTACATTCTATGCAGCAAAGATGTCAATCTATGCGAAAAAGATGGCAATGTTTAGATACCGGTGACTATCACAATTTTTTGTGAGGGTTCTTTTACACATAAACCCAAATATTCCGCAATTGCTGTTGCACTCAAGCTAATTTTTCTCACGGTTGCCTCAGGTATTATATTCATGATCTGCTTTGCAACATGGCTGGAAAAAGCAGCCAGATTGGTATCAATACTGTTCACACTTGATTTGACAATAACAATAATCGAAAAAATGGCTTCTATTCTGATGATTCTATGTCTATAGCAATTTTTTTTGTTTTATGTCAAGTTGATAACTGAATAAACTAGAGTTTCGTTTTCATGGTTGTAGTTCATGATCCAATAAGTAGCTAAAGTAGTTTCGAGATAACGATCTGCAGTTTTTAAAACCATTTGCAGTAGTCAGGTCGATCTATGCATATTCAAGCTGATTTTTTTTCTCTTCATCTTGAGTCGAATGCTCCAGAGAGACTAAGACTAACATCGTCGTGATTTATTCGGTACGTATAGCTTTAGAAGGTGCGAATGATCAGTTCTAGATTAGAGCCCTGCAGGTTAAACCTAACCTATAGGTTTAGGTTACGTTTTTTATAGGTTAGGTTAGGTTTACGTGAATACCTTGACGTAGTTCCGTAGGTTCCGTAGCAAGGTATGCATTTATTTAGAGTTTGGCAGAAAGACAAATCGTTTCTTTTTTTAGTCTTCAGCGGAACCTCTTTTTGCGTAAAATCTTTTTTAAACCAGTTTCCTTGACACGTTACTTTTTTTCTCCGAAAAAACAGTTCCGCCGTTTGCCAGAGAATTATTTTAAGATTTTGCAGAAACGTTCTTACCTTGAGTACTAAGTAAGAACGTTCAATCCAAAACAAATGTTTTGTATCGCACCTTTGTTTTAGAGAGTAGTGTAATTGCTACCTGATTATTTTCTTATACTAATATATATCTGCCCATATAGGCTGAAGATTTTATTAATTCATCGAGTACAACTGCTATGAGCAGTGTTCCAGTTCAATTTCTTATTCATGTTGTAAATCCACCAGTCTGCACGGAACAACCGGAAATAATTGGCATTCCAACAGATCAGTCATGTATATCTGTGCAAGTAGGAATTAAATTTACAACTCAAATCATCGCTATTAACCATTGTTCAAATGAGAGTGTTACTATTAGTGATATTGCTACACTATCCTTTCCTGGTGTAGCTAAATCTAATTTAGTCAAATATAATTCTACGGTTTATTATAAGAATTTAACCTATACAGCTATTGTACCAGATCTCGGTGTACAAGTGATTTGTGCCATGGCTTATGACAGGTTAATTTTATTAATGTTCTATTTCATTGAGTATATTCGCTTATTTTTATTATTGTAGTGCTAATTCAGAATCAGATCAATTTTGTTTTTCACTTTTCGTTACAAATACGGCAGCATGTGGCTGTCCAGGAGATGAATGTTTCATAACTACAGCGTAACATAAAGCCGCGATTCATATTGTAAAATGCATTGAAATAATTCTTGTTTTTAGTATGTATACTACAGGCACGGCCGTTACGACATCAACTACTACGACTAGTACTAACATAAGCGAAACAACAGCACCTTCAACAAGTTCTAGTTTAACATCACCATCAACTCAGTCTGCACTGACTTCCGCGACGTCTCTCACGACCTTCACGACGTTTTCTGCGACCTTCACGACGTTTTCTGCGACCTCCACGACGTTTTCTACGACCGTCATGACGTTTTCTGCGATCTCCACGACGTTTTCTACGACCTTCACGACGTCTCTTACGACTTTCACAACGTCTTCCACGAGCACGGCATCTATGACGACGTAAGTAACTAATATCATTAATATGAACAAAGATTTTTGATTTAGCTATAATCTTTTCAAAAAACTTAAAACTTTGCTTCTTTACAAATCGTTCATTATAACAAAAACCATACTATGCATTAACCGGACCGGTTTGTGATCTAAAAAGCAAATCTAAAAAGCTGACTTTTGATAAATCTGCAATTCTTTGGATTGCTACTCTGATGTCAGCTTTACCTAGAAGCGTGGCAATTCTCGACTGTGTCAAAACCGGGTCCTGTGGCAAATTTTTCCAATAGTATTGTGGTCATTTGTTTCATGGGCTGGTAACCGGGGATCTCCTCTTTAAGGCGGGAGTCTTAAGGCAATATTTTATTTTAGAAAAAGTTTTAAGATCTAATAAAAAAAGGCGAGTTTTACGAAAACTAGGTTTTCGAGCTGTTTTCATAAAATATATTAAAAAATTCACTATTCACTTAAAAAAAGATCAGAACAAGTTCAAAGCTACGGAATATGGTTAATTTTGTTCGCTAAACGTGATTATAACATCGAAGAAGGACATTATTGTTACTGGGTTTTCCACAAAAGTTTCGGGTTTTATAAAATCTCTTTCTAGATCGCCTATAAACTGGATATAGAGTAGCCTACTCTACAGTCTGAAATTTTGAACTTATTTTAATATTTCTTGAATGGATAGTGAATTTTTTAATATTAGATGAACACAAGCTGAAAACCCTAATTTCCGTAAACCTGGCTTTTCGCCACATTTTTAAAACTTTACCTAAAAACCAACATTACTATGAGACTCAGCATGATCGATTACGTATAATCCACCTAGTGACCGTGTGCCGATCCCGGGACTTGTAGAGAATTCGGTACAACGCCTGAGCCGTGGAAAATCAAGATCTCGCTTGAGTCCCATTTTGAAGAGGAGATTCCGGAATATCAATCTATAAAACAATCAATATAACTCTATTGGAAAAATTTTCCAGACGACCTGGTTTTCTTGTTGACCTACCGGTTTGCTGAGATACTGCAGAGTATTATTGAACTTAGCCTAACAACCTACCATTTTCTTCTTAATAGTCTATATAGCATTTTGCAACCCGTAAAATTCTCTATCAAACAGTATATAATAGTTGAAACTTGCTCTAGGCGAAAGCGGTGGAATAATGAAACTACTCTCAGTAAAGTTCATTTAATGGAAGAAAAGTTTTCCAAGGGCCACTGAAAAGGATTTTTAAGGTCTAAACATATATTAGAGTTAATCGCGGACAAAAGCTGCCTCAGATCGGTTAATATAAGATTGATATGTGAGGGAGCTGATTTTACCTCTTATCGACTCCCGCCCTTTACTTGCCAACTATCACAGAAAAACACTGAAATGTTGGCTTCCAAATATTTTTCGGTTTCTCTGTACTTATTGGTACAGTTTCGATCGATTATTGTATATCGAAAAACAGGCAATCGATGTTTTGTTTGTAAATTGTTCGTCAAAATTTCATAATAAGGTTGTATGTTTATTTCATAGATCAACAGCAACGACAATGGTAACCACACCTGAAGGTAAGTTTAAGGAAAAATCACAAGACTAGTAAAGAACAAACCGATATAAAATTTATTCTGTCCTAAAGAAAAAAACTGACTTATCAAGAAACAAGCCAAGTTTTCGAAAACGATAAACTCGTGATCCCGTAATGAGAAGAGTGACTTTAGTCATCGCGGAATAATAAAAGTCTATTAAATTTGTTAAATTCCAAATATTTAAAAGTTAGTTTAGCTTAGTTTATTTGACAAACAGTCATCAGTACACAGTAACACAAGTAGATACAAGCAATTCAAGTAAAAGCAGCTAATACAAAAATGACTAAAATATTAGTAACATATTCTGCCGCGCACCTATAAAACATACTGAAAATAAAAGAAAAAGAAAACATAACTAAAAATTTGATGGGGTTAGCGTTAACATATAGAACGTTGAGATGACACTATTAATAAGTGCTAACATTGTAAAAGTCTACGCAAATCAACTTTAACGACATGCAGATTAGATGCCCTGACAAGGGGCTCAGTTTCCAGTCAACCGGAGTGCGCCAAAAGAAAGATGATTTCACTGTTTCAAATACTAAGAAAGGTACCGTGACGTAGCGAGAGTGGAGCCTATTACGATCAGATGCTGTGGTGGTAGAAAGACTGATAAGATTAGAAGAACTTAGGACGGAGTAATTGTTGATTAAACGGAAGTAGTTAACTAAACGAAAATACAACCGTCTAGTTTCTAGTTCAGGAATCCCCAATTTTTTTATTAAATTCTTACTTTCATATAGGTAATTGAAATTTCTTGCAATAATTCTGACTGCTAAACGCTGAACAATTTCCAAGGCCTTTGTATAAGTAACAAAGCCTGAGTCATAGACTGCAGAGCAGTAATCAATTTTCGGAATGACGCAAGATATATAGTGAAGCAGGAGTATCGCGAAAAACTCGGTTTATGGCTCCTGTCTGCAAAATAAAGCGACCTCATTAATGTGCCCAGATCATTTTAAATCATGAGATAGACGCGCACCTTAAAGTCGTGGAAATGTCGTTTTAGCGTAGTTTGGTAGCCATTGATCTATAATTATAGTTTCAAGAAAAGAATTGAAAAAGAAAGTTTTTGAGGTATTAGTTTATAATTAATTAGTGCTGAGTGAATTACTGCATGCTAATTAGTAACTGGCATGCTAAGTACTCTGGTAGCTTACACTTCTATTTCTAAATTAACGATTTGTTAGAAACCATGAAGTGATAGTTCGTTCGACAAAGATTTTCAGGCGCTACAAAATCCTGTCATTGCAGTTTCAAAAATTTATCCATTAGAAGTTATTGTAACCCGGTTTTTCAGAGTATCGGGTTTCCACGAGAGTTATTATTGCCGGCGCCAAAATATAAGGCAGACTGTTATTTTTTGAATAACTCAAAGAGGGTTCGAATAGAGAGCGCTGCTATTTTCCTCGTCATTAGGAATAAAAATTGTAATCGCGACACCGTTAAACATTGTAAACCAAACTAACAGTTTTTTAGTATCTCTCAGCCAGCCTGGATTGAGCCCCACAATATTCAGGTGTATTTTCTTGAGAAAGTTTTCTTTTTCTTTTATTTTCAGTATGTTTTATAGGTGCGCGGCAGAATATGTTACTAATATTTTAGTCATTTTTGTATTAGCTGCTTTTNAAAGTTTTCTTGAATTAATTCCAAACGTTTTTCTCGCCATTGTTTACTTATATGTATAGGTGCAATTAATATAAGCGGATTTAACTGGCTTCCGTTGCTTAGTTTACTTCTACCATTAATGTTGCTTTGTGGTATTTGTGGATATTGCTGGTGGCTCTACAAATACAAGTAACTTAAAACACACTGTTATTGAAAAAAATGTAGAATTGATATAGTGTATGTATTTTCTGATATTATTGTTTTAGAAAAATACAACGAAAACGACGTTTAATAGAAGAACATAATAGTAGCTATCGTCAACAGTACATTCAAGAAACTGATTCATCATCTAGGTATTCAAAAAGCTTTCAGAGAGGTTTTAAATACAGTAAAACGTATTT